GGGAAGATGTAAAGACAGAACAAAACGGATAAAAGACCCAGAAATAGGAAGAGGAGAAAAATGAAGATAAAAGGCGAAAGTGAGAAAATGGACAAAGACGAAAATGAAGAAACCTCTCCCCTCTCTGTCTTAGATACTCAAGCACAAAGAGGATGAAAATTAAACCCTTTTTGATTTTTAATCCCTCTGCTGAGCCTCCAGGGCCCCTCATCTTTCCAGGGGTTTTAAGACGGAGCCTCCATCTCTTTGAAGACTGCCCCTAGCCCATGTCATCGTGAGACAGACGCCACCCTTGCTGTACTCAGACGTTCTTACAGATGGAGGACATCCCGTGTGGCCTTATGGAGGCGGGAGAGCCCCGTGCTTTCTGCGTTCCAGAGGACATGAAGTGGCGGAGGATGTGAGCTGTGCTGACCCGCAGTGGGATGCGGCCACCCAGGCCTTGGGCACATCCATCATCAGGTTTTAGGTGGGCGCACCTCCCACCTCACTGACGGAGTGCTCAGGGCATCCTTGCCAAAGAACAAGAGGAACTTTGAGCTGAAGGAACAAACCCAGGCTGTCAGGGGGCGGCAGGCGGTGATGCTTTGCCTTGTGGTGCTCCAGTGACTTTCACGGTGAACTCAAATGTCCACCCACGCTAGCTCACACCGAGAAATGTGAGATTGGACCCTGAGGTTACGGGGAACTTAATTGAATGTGAACCTGAAATAATTACCTGTCGTGGGTTGGAAATTGAAAGGACCTCCCAGGTTAGGAGGTGAGGGAGACCAGATCAGAGGCAAAGAGGGAAGAAATCAGGGGAGGGGATAGCACAGGCGGGGGGACGTCCTTCCTTAGAAAGGTGAATACTTAGGGTGGCAAATCCATTTTGGCAAAGAAGGAGAGGACCAGCACTTCTGAGCACGTGACCTGAGCCCGGTGCTGAGCTGGCCTGGCATGCTTCCGCTTGGCTCCGGGAGCCTGCAGCAACTCTGGGCCATCGGGACTGTTACACCCATTTTAGGGATGGGGAAACTGAGGAATCTGGGGTCAAGGCACGTGCTCACAGCCATTCCACAGACATGATTTTTTTTTGGATCTTGGTGACAGTCCTATAAGAGGCATTTTAAGCCCCATTACGAAGAAACTGAGACTCTAGGATGTTCATTAATTTGCCTAAGGGCACCGGAATAATAAACGTCAGTAACCCCTGAAACAAAGATACTTGTTCCCACTGCTTAGCGCACGATTTCTCTGACCCTGTCTTTGGCCTTTAGGAAGAATCTCGTGGGAGGTAAATCGGCCACGTTGTTCCCAACTTTGGGTCCTGAAGGCCCCCCTGGGGGCCTTTCAGGGTTTCAGGCTCTTTTCAGTCCTTTGCAGAGGTGACTGATGACTGTGGCCGCTGATGCAATGGCCGGGGGCATATTTTTGGAAGGCGCTGCTTCTGCGCTGGCCTGAGATCCTTGGGGGTCCTCGGCCTGAAAGCCTCGTGGACCTGCCGGTGCGTAAAATCTTGGCTTGGGCAGCATCCTTCTCATGTTTGCTTTTGTCTATGCAAAACTTATGGTCGCCACACCTCTCAGATGATTCTTATTAAAAGCCAAATACCACAACCAACTTTTACTCATGATTAGTAAACGCTGTTTCCAGGACTCCCTTCCTCTTTCATTTTTAGCTAAGCTGCTAGGTGTTCAGGTGTCACAGGAGTAATGTTTGTTGTTTATTTTGCATCTACCCTGTGCCAGGCTGCGATGGCCATGTTACGTGACCCATCGCTTTCAATAATCACGACAACCACCGGCAGGGGGCTGTTCTCATCCACCTTCGGTGAACAGGGTACCGAGGCTCTGAGAGGTGGAGGTCTCTGCCTAGGGTCTCACAGCGTCCAGACCGTGGATGGGCCTGTCTCCCAAGTGGCCATTCCTCCTTTAAGACCTGCACTTCTCACAGGCCAGGTGTGATAACCCAGTCCCATGAGACTCCTCCTTTCACCTTGGAATGCCCTTCAAGGTCCCACATAATAAAGAACCCAAGGTGTGGGTCAGACATCCTGAACCCAAGAGGAGGAAGGCATGTACAAAGTGGAAGCCACTCTGTCTTCCTCCCTCTCACAGGCAGGAGAGGGGAGGAGGAGGGGGACCTCCTGGCTGGGGGACTGGGGCTCACACAGTCGGATCCCGTGTTAATGCGCCCGGCACTCTCGCCAGCACTTTCCGTGCACCAACCCAGCGGACTTTCACAGCGTCCGCCGAGTGGGAACAGTCAGTGTCTGCATCGCATGGACAAGAAAGTGAGCACGAAGGTGAACCACCAGCCCGAGGTTGCCAGGAAGATCTGAGACATGAACACAAGACCGTTCCAGAGCCAGTGTTTAGAAACGTAGCCACCTTTTTACTTTTTCTCCCTTTTCCGTGGGTGAAACGCTAACTCTTGACCAGGTGTTCGGGCCTTTCACAGTCTAACTCAGATGTCCTCTTCCGGCTCCGTACGCTGTACCGTCCCCTCCGCCAGCCCATGCTCTGCCTCTGCCGTCTTGGAGGCGCCCCCTGTCTTGGTCGGCGGGGAACTTTTGGACCTCACTCCCGGGCCCAGGAGGGACACACGGATGAGTGAAGTGTAATCCCTGGTCTCTAAGAGCTTGTTGGGGACACAGACTAGGACACAGGTAGCGAGGTCACCGGGCAGAAAGCCCGGAGTTCTAGGGAGAACACCTGCCTCAGAGGGGGGCAGAGAAAACAGGCAGTTCATCTTCTCGCGCCGAAGGCTTCGTCAAGGAGGCCTGCCTGTCAGCCTTGAAGGTTGATGAGGATCTTGACACTTAGAAAAGGGGAAACGAGAGCCATTTCAGAGTGAAGCCCCAGAGGCACAAGCGCACGGCCCGCCTGAGGAAGTGCAGACTGTGGTTTTGAGCGTAGGGCCATCCTAACCCCTTTCACTTACGTGCAGGGAGAGGGCGAGGCTGAGGTTAGCTGCGTTCTATTTCCTTAGGCAGCGTTCTCAGGCGGACTGTTTTAGCCTGAAATCTACCATTGGCATTAACAAGAAAAGAGGAGATTAAGGAGTCAAGTGGGCAAGAGAGCAAGGTCAACCACCCGGCACGTCTCAGTGACCCGTGTGCAGCCTAGACTGTGTTCGCTGGGGGGCGATTAGCCAAGAGGAGAGAGATCGGTCAGTCCTGATGGAGTGCTTCTTACCGGAATAGTGATTCACCAGGTCCTCCAGGCACTGGAAGGTGAGCCTCGGGGAAATGTAATACCAGTTGTTTGGCAGGCGGAAGATGCGGTAATGCTTCACCTGCCGGTGTCTCACCGAGAGGGAATAAAAACCTGCAGAAAGTGGAGGGCAAGTCAGTGGCATTCCACAGGCCCCCACCCAAGGCAAGCAGCTAAGGACCCCACGACCGCTGAGACAGAGAGACCTTCAGCCTCGTGATACAATGATGATACCTGGACATGCGCTCCTGTGTGTTGACCAGGGGCCACTTGAACCCCACCTGCTTGGATGTAGCTCACTCTTCAGAGACCCCAGACCGTGTTCTCTTAGAAGCACAGACACATTAGCCATGTTGCAATGCGGGCTTTCAAGTGCACGGGCTAGGTCTTTGCTTTGTGGGGGTACTATCTGGGGGGCTTCCACATCCTTCGGTGGGTCCTTAGACCAAGTGAAATGGCTAGAGTTGGGTTGCACCCTGTCCATCCAGGATCTGTGGTCATTCTTGAGTCTTTCCCAAGGATGCTGTCTAAGGTCTCTGTGCCCTGACCTGCCAGTGCTGCCCCACCACACAGTTATACCCCTGTTTCCAGGTCCCTGCTCCCTCTGATTTTTGTTTGGTTTTCTCATAAATTTGGAAAAATGGCAGTTGAGACACTTTTTTCTGAGTATTCCTAAGGAATGTAAAATGTATTATTGCTTCTTCAGGACCATGAGAGTAATGACCCAAGGTGGGTTCATCAGAGTAGCACTTTGGGTGGGACCTACACGTCTCTTTGCCTCAATTTCCCCAAATTGAAAGAGAGAGAATTGGACTTAGGTCATGTTTAAGGGTCCTTCCTGCTCTGTCTTCTGGGGTTCTGGGGGTGAAAAGGCGCACAAAGCAGTAAGAGGGGAGGGGCACTTGCATTTACTGAATCTTTGCTGTACGTGCTGGGCTGGGAGCTGAGCTGTTTCTAAGCAACCTCTCTGTTGATTCTCAGAAAGACCCAGGCAGAGCCTCTAAGCTGGTATTGTCCTCAAATATTTTATAGATGGATAAACTGAGGCTCAGAGCACTGAGTGACATGGAGAGGGGGACACAGCTTGGAAGTGGCTGCCCTGGAGTTGGGTTTTGTCCTCCTAGAGCTGACCTCCCAGGGGGTTCTGATGAGCATCCTCAGCTGTGTCCCAGGCCTGCCCTCTGAGCCAGCTCAACGTGTGTCTTCCAGTCATGTCAGCAGGGACTGGAAGCATGGTGAGCGGGTCAAGGGTTGCAGGTGGAAACTTATGAGAACTTTGCATACCCAAGGGAGCAGAGCCGGTTACTCCCACCCCGGCCCCAGCTCGGCTGCAGATCAGCCACGTTATTTTTAGATCAGCTCTGGCAACTCACATCGGGTTCGCCCCCCACCGCCCCTCTCTGGTTGTGCCAGCTTAGAGGCTGTGCCCAAGTCTGGGTCTCCTGCCTTGGGAGGCCCCCCGGGACATGCACAGGAAGTTTTGCCTTTGCTTTGATCTTGCTCTCACCCAGCATATTCAGGCTTTTGAGAGAAAAGTTGTTCCTGGGGTTTTTCTTCTGTTTTTTTTTTTTTTTTAATCACATATATATGGTCCCTCCTGCTTCCCCAAAGGAAAGCAGATGCTCATTTTGGCGAAGGGCTCCAGCACCAGGAAGATCTGGTGCTTAATAAGTGCACGGAAAATACTCTCAGATACCACATTTTCTTTTCTTAATAGTGAGTGTACATGAAACGGGCTAAAAACTTGGAAGTATTTTCTGTATTTAAGAAGTCCTTACTATTCTTAGCAGGTCTGGCAAAGCCTAAGCTATTCGTATTTCGCTTTTGTGAGTTTAAGTGCGCACTCCGGTCCAGACACCGTGCCCAGCTCTTTCTTAGTGTTAAGCCCATGTTACAATTAGGAAACTGAGGCTTAGAAAGAGGAGGTAATGAGTAACTCACATGGCCCAAACTAGAACTGGGGACCCTCGCTCTGAACCATGACAAAACCATGACAAAAAATTCGTTTCCACTGAATTACTTAACATGGAGGACGTAAGGAAATTGCAACAGTGAAGGTCACGCTGAGTATGCGAGGGTGTGCGTCTGCTCGTCTGATGTCACTGTAGGGACCAGCGGGGACTAATAGCACAACAAACACTATTCCATTATAAGGAAGGGGTTTTCTCTCCATTCCACAGATGAGAAAACTGAGCTCAGAGAAGTAAATGACACGCCCAAGCCCCGAGGTTTGCAGCCCACGTTCTCTCTGCCCCAGGTGCTGCCTGCCCCTAGCCTTCTCTCTTCTCAGTTGTTGGGAAATTCTCCAGCAGGAGTCTGCAGGGTATGATGTGGGTCAGAGCCGGCGCCAGTGCCCCACTGGGTCACTGCTGCCTGGTTCTAGTCCCCCACGCTTTGGCACTGGCCTTGCTGGTGATGTGTGGGCTGGGGGAGCTCACAGCATCGCATGGATTTGCGTGCATCGTGGGAGGAGGGAACACGAGCCAGGTAATGAATGAGTCAGCCAGGAGCAAAGCCTGCTTGTCTGACCCGCGCACAGAAAGATGAGTTGATGAGTTGGAGGGAGGCGGCTCACCTTTCTTGGTCTCACTCTCTCTGATCATGAAGGAGCCGATCTTCGTGTCTGGCAGCTGTAGCAGCTCCTCAGCTTTGTCCCTGCCCAGCCCTTCAAACAGCCAGCTGGGAAGAAGGAAAGGAGCCATGAGTATACGGAACATACCCTCCCCTCAAAAGACAGGAGGGCCGCAGAAATGATGGTCGAGGTCCAGTCAGTGTAAAACAGGATTAAAGAGAGCAAGATAGTCACCATTCATTCATTACTACCATCTTTCAAATAAAAGTCCCGAGTCCCCACTGCATGCCAGGCATTACACTGGATAATGAGGACCCAGGAGCGCATGAGACATCTATCGTATCCTGTTTCTCAGATGCCAGCTGCACTGAGCCCATCCTACGCTATACAACACATAGGACCCCAAAACGTGATGAGGGGCCTGTCTTGTAGTTCACTTCACGTCTGTGTCCCTTAGGCGCTGATTACCCAGCTCCTCCGTCACTGCCCCCTGGAGGCAGGGACCGTCTGTCATTTGGGGTTTTGTCTTTGTATCCAGGTTACCAAGCTTGGTGCACATCTGTGAATGAGTCAAGAGACACAAGAAAGAGAGAAAGCAATGGTGCTGTCTAACTTCACCACCTCGACAAGCCTCACTCTGCATTCTTTCCACTTCCTTCTTGTCTTCTCTTTTTCAGTATATTTTAAACTCAGTTGCCATTGCACTATGCATTTCTTGCTTTTTTTTTTTTTGGTTAACTGTTAAAAAAAAAAAAGTGCAGTGGTAATACCGTAGCCAGCTCTCCGATGGAAATCTGACCTTCTAGAGGAGAGCGGGCACTTACAGTGCTCTTCAGAAAGCAGCTCCAGACTCAGAGGCATCAGTGTTACGAGGGGAAAGACGCTCGCTCGTTTTGCAGAGCAGCCTGGGCCAGATCTCAGCGTGGAAGGAAGTGCTTTGTTAGTACTTGGCTGGTGTGTACTCGGAAGTCATTGTGCATCCTTTTCTAACTGTCTCTGTGTTTCAGTGAACGGACCCGGGCTTTTAATTACACGTCTGAATTAGCGCGTGCCGTGGCCAATATTAATACTCCATTGTTTCTCACCCTTTAACATCCCTCATGGCATGAAAGCGGGCCATTGACCCGGCTGGCTGAGGACTCCCGAAACACCACGTGCGAGGAGCCCCGCAGACATAACATCGGATACTGTTTGTTTAGGTACTGGTCTCCAGCAGCGCTTTGGTTGCTAAGATCATGACTATGCCCTATTCAGCCAAGTATTTCAGCTATTCCCTTAGTTCTCCACAATGTGTGGCTTATTAATTATTTTAGCATATGTGACAAATCTTCATCCTTTCAAGTCCTTACACTAAAATTCCATGTATAAAAATGAAGGCAGTAAAACACAACAATAACAATAAACACGTATGAATACCAGTTATGGGCCACATACCATATTGTATTAAGCTCTTGAAATCTAATCTTCATATCAACCCCCTAAGACCAGTGCTATTCTCTCTCTTTCACTGATGAGGATACGGACGGTCAGAGTGATTCAGTAATTTATCCAAGTCACCCAGGTCACAATTGTTAGAGCAAGAATTTGAATGCATTGTTCCTGGGACATCCAGTTCCATAACCACTAGACTGCACCGCCTCCCTTCCTAGTCTATATTTTAAGGGCATTTATTGCATCTGTTAGATTGGAAACCCATGGGGTCATGATTACACCTTGTTTGTCCGGGTTCCTCATCCCCCGCTCCTGCCAGCATTCAGCCCCACATCTTCCACTGGAAGGTACCGAGGCGTGGAGCCACGTGACTCACATCTCTTTCAGGATGTGACTCTCGGAGCAGCGACTGTCCTGCTTCTCACCTTCGTCCTCCCAAGCACAGCCACGACTTTGGGATTCATGATCGAAGCCAGTAAGACTGCAGTGAAGTGCAGCAAATTACATTTTTTCGGGAAGTTGAGACAGTTTTCTCTGCTTCACCAGGTGAGGCACGTGGTGTGCAGGGATGTAAGGAGGTTACTTCTGGATCCCTTCAAATGCCAAGGGTGCTCCCTTCTCTCTTCCTCTGGGTCGCGCTCTGGCCTTGGTAGCTGGACAGGTGAGGAGACCGTGGCCCCAGGAGGTTAAGGAACTCTTTCAAGGCCCTCCGGTGGGAGCAGGAGGTGCGCTGGCCTCCAGGGCCACCTGTCATGCCGCGCGGCCTCCTCTGCACAACTGCCAGGGACAGCAACGTCCTTGCTTTCTCATCCGCCACATCCGGTAGTTAAAGGTCCTTCTTTTCCGCTTGACTTTTCTATGTGTCAAGGTGGGAACATAAGCATTTTTGGCAGTTCCCTGTGTTCTGGATGTGATTCAGTAAGAATACAGCTCATGCGTATTGAGTGCCAGCCATGGTTCCAGAACTCTCTGTGGCCTATCTCATTCGCCTAACCACCCTAGGCTTCAGTCACATTGCTGTACATTACTGTTCCTGTCACTCTATACTGCGATCTCCATCTGACGGGTGAGGCAAGGACACTGATGCTTAGAATGTTGAACTGCTCGCCCACTTGCAGCCAGTAAGTGACAGAGGCAGGACCTGCACCCAGACGGACTGACTTTTGGCTGCTCCCTCATCTGATCACCGTTCCTGAGTCCTTACTGCTGCAGGAACACTGCATTCGAGCTGAGAGATCCACCATTCGTCTTCCTGATGGGAAAGTCGAGTTCCAGAGAGGGGACGGGCTAGCCCAAGGCTGCACCCTTCCTTGTGGACTAAGCAAGGAGTAGCGGTTACCCTCTCGAACCAATGCCTTCCTTTCCACTGTCCCTCACTGGACTGTCTCGGCACACACAGACCAGTCACTACATAAACACCGTGCTTTACTGATGCTATTTTAGAAGTGCACTCACCCGTGGTAAACTCTGGCCACACATATTCCAGGAATGTAACTCTCTCGACCAGTGCTAAGGGAAATGGCTTTCCACCAGCCCCCTTCACTGTAAGGACAAGAACAGGTAGAAAAAGTGACGAGGGAGGTAAATGAATGAACAGACTGAGTAATCAGATCTAACCCAGGTACACTGGGATGGCCCTTTTTTAAGGTCTATCATTGGCTATGCTGACTGAACTTTCTCCCTATGAAAATTCAGTTTTAAACTATATCCCCCTTTTCCGAACTAACTGGGAAATCCTCCCAAATGCTGGCGATAGCTCCCTTTCAGGGATCAGCAGCTGATGCTTCCAGCCGATGTTCCACAGTTGGAGGAAGCTGAATAACACTCCACAGGATACCCAGGATAGTTTCCTACGTCTGTATCGGTGAAAAAGGCTCAGAGCCCCTGTTTCTTCTACAGCTTATTTCAAATCATGGAGAGAAATCAGAATCGAAGGCAACACCTTACTGTTCATCATCAGAGGTATTTTGGGCCCTCCTACCTGATTCTGCACTAATATATCATATCAACCCTGCCTCTGTGGGAGGAGATGAGGCCAACGTAAGAAGCAGAAGTTGGATCAGAAAGGAATGTATACTTTATCCATCAGGCAATGGGGAGCCACTGAAGGCTTTAGAGCACTGGCAGCATTAAGGAGGATTAAACATTAAGGCCTGCTGTATGGGCCACATTTCTCACCTCACAATAAGACCAGAGCCCATGTGGAATTGGACAACAATGGCCAAAATCCCAGAATTCCCACCAAAACTGAGTTCTTGCTTTTGGGGGCATCGTATACGTTCTGGAAGCTAACTCACTCAGAAATCACGCGCAGTTTCTCCCCGCGGCGGAATATCGGCGGGCTGATGTCAGGCGATGGGTAGTCACTCAGCACAGCCAGGAAGTCGCTGTCCAGTCCTGGAGAAACAAGGCAAAAGGGTGCTTTTATTCACGAGGAGATGGAGAGCAGCCCCGGGAGGTGGGGCAGAGCTGAGTCCCTCCTGGGGACTTCTCAGCTGGAGACACCTGTTTTGAAACAGCAAACAACTGGCCCTCCTCTCTTCAGGGACAGTGACACGGGGTTCTCAAAGAGACCCAGAGGGTCAGGTGACCCGATGACCTGCTCTCAGTCTCAGGCCTGGCCTGGGCCTGATGTTCTCATCTGAGAAATGGGGATACAGAGGTCCTTGAGCTGAGGTCACAAGACCTGGCTACAGCATCTACCCAATATCTACTGATCTGTGTGATCTTGGGCAAGTCCCAGAATGCCTCCCAGCCTTGATTTCCCCATCTTTAAAATGGGGCTAGTCATGCCCCTTTACAGGATTTTGAAGAGATGAGATGAGATGAAAGCATGTAGCCGTACCCCGTGAATGATGTGGTGCTTTAAGAACATCCCCTCTTCCTACCATTGCCTCCTTGGGGCTTGCGGGCTCCACATCTGCTACATGTTGTGGGGGGATGTCAGGATTTGGCTCTGTGAATTCTGAAGACCCGCCAGGACCAGGAGATATTAACTCTCAAGCTCAACAAAGCCCTTCTTCCTTGTGGAATGTAAGGCTCTGTGAAGCGTGTTCTCTGGTCCATTCTGGTTCACGTGAGTACAGCTTACTGTAGACTAGAGAGAGTGACGATACATGAGCTTGCTGTTTGACACTAAGCAAAGCCTTAGTGATTTACCGTAATTCAGGTGCCTTAGATGCAGTGTCATATAGTGGTATGTTTTTGGGGAAATAGCATATCTTATAAATTGGCAAATACAGTAGTTGTTTCCTATGACATTGCATTTATCAGTCCATCTTCTGGCTGGGCTTCTGGACTCAAAATTCTGGGCAACATACCATTTATTCATTCATTTGCCAATTATTTACTGAGCACCTACTGTGGGCCAAGCATGGTGAACAAAGCAGGCGAAGTCTCCCTGCTCCCCGGGAGCTCACAGTGCAGACAATACATCAGTAATAGTGGGAGGGATCATTCCCTGCCCCCTTCACCACAGCAAAAGCTGGAGAAATCCCAGCACGCGGGCATGGTAGCCTTGGTGCCCAAATTGGCCACTTTCTAGGGGTCTTCATGTGGGACCTCTAGCCCCTGCCCTTTACAACTCAAATGTCCTGTGGTCTGCAACTCGTCGGTCTTGGGTTAGACTGAGTCAAAAAGAGAGCTTAGGTACCAGGATGAGTAAGAATGGATGGGGAACAAATTATCCCATGGAAGAGTGCACTCAGACGTACTGTTCACTAGGCAATACACCTTGCAAAAGCTGAGTCACAGGCAATACACTTTGCAAAAGCAAGCGCTCCTGCGTGTGGGATGGAAACCAAAAGCCAGCCCCCTTCACTGTAAGGACCAAAAACGGAGAGGGTCATGGGGCGAGCAGAGTCGGCCGGGGGAGGGCTGACCAGCGAGGGCTCCGGCCTTCCCTGAGCCTGTGGAGCGGCCTCCCTCACACCCTGCTTTGCTGAACTGAAAGCGCTCTTTGCTTGCGGTGCTCGGGCTAGTATGTGTTTTCGCCTTTGTGTGACTGTCAGGGAAGGGCTGTGAACGCCAGGAGGCGCTGTCTTGTGGGCTCCCCCCCCAACCCAGCCCAGCATCGTGCCCATCCCACCCAGGATGCCCAAGGCAGGCTTATCAGATAAAAATGTGAAGAGGTCCTGCTGCTCCTAGAGCCTTGAAACCTGCCGTTGTGCTGAGTTTTTAAGGGGTCCGGGAGTCGGAAGCCTGACTTGTGGCAGGCAGCGTGGTGGGCGGCCATCACGGAACCGGCGCCCTTTGAAAAACCAGCGTGGAGGCAAGACGCACAGCATTTGTTATCTGTGACAATAATGGAAACTTGAAATAGACGGCGTGTGTACAAGAGGGGCTGGGGCTTTGATCTCTGATTCTAGAGTGAGGCTGTGAAAGAGAACAACCGTCTTGTCGTAACGTGAAAAACAGAAACAAAAACAAAGTCCCGTTATAATCAAAAAATAGTCTCAATAGGGGAAAACAGGCTTAAAGGGCTGGAGAGGTTCAGTTTCACAACAACAAAGTCGAGCTTCCTGTGGAATTTCCGTGATCGTGTTTTCATAGCGATGACACTTAAACATCACTGAGAAAATCCTGCACTGGGGCTTCTGCTTAAAGATGAGGGCCTTTGTGGGCCTTTTGCAGGGGACTTCAGGCCTGTCCCTACCACCTTCACCCCCAGTGTTGGGAAAACAGACAGCAAAGCCAGCGCAAGATAGGAAGTTGGGGGTGTACTTTTGCGAGAAGGGCAGCGGGTCTAAACAAGGTCTGGTGCTGGCATCCCATCTAAGTCTTCCCTGCGCTTTGGCCCCTGTGGTGAAACAAACGCGAGGTGGGAAGTTTCAGTTCAAACATTATGGTGTACCCCTGGAGCCCCCAGCTTGGTGGGCAGTGGAGCATTTGCATGAAGTCCGACAAATGAGGGGTACGGAGAGGAGGAGATTGGAGGAGGTAGACAGGATTCCTGCAGACTCAAGATAAGGAAACAAATTAAGTGAAGAAATGTGTACTGGGCACAAAAAGGAGAAATCCAGGGAGAATTTTCAGAAGAGAGAACGGGCTTTGAAATCAATCAGACCTGGCTTGATTTCCGCTGCCTCTACTTAATCGTCCTGCCAGTTGGAGAGAGATTATTTTTCAACTAATTTGAGCTTGATTTCTTCATGTATAAAAAACGGGCGATACCAAAGTCAACCTCATCTGATCAGGTTAGGATTCGGGAGACATACACGCACAGTCTGCCTTAATCTGCGGCAGCTGACACCGTGTTTCTGGCCTGGGGCAGCTACCCTTCCATCCTCCAAGACCAGTTTCAGCCAGTAGTGTCATAACTTTTGAAAAGCCTCTAGTCGTGTGAATTTGAAAATATTCTTATCTTCTGAAAAACAAACTCCATTTGGTGAGAACAGAGGATGAAATTCAAGAGACTGAATATTTGCTGATAGCTCAGCTCAAAAATGAGTCAGATCGAACAACACGTACAAAACTGTAAAATAGGAAATGAGTCCCCAGAAGGAAGGGGACCGAGGCAGAACTCACTAGCCACAAGTTTTACTTGGTCAAGAGAACAGGCCCTTTTTTGCATTATTGTTCCTTAGAGCATTGTTATCATTTCTTTTAAAGTGCTGAAAACTTTAAGTAGATCTCATTTATAATCATCTAGTAAAACCAGCTCTTTTTTTTTTTTTTACTTCCAATGCTCCTTACAACCCTACGGAACATATATTATTTCAAGGGTGAAAAACCCAGGCTGGGGTGTTTTAGGAATGTGCCCAGGGGAGAACGTGAAGGTTTCCAAGCCCACGGTCAGGTCACTAAGACACTTAGCTCTTTTTGGGACTTAGTTACCAGGCTCTCCCCAGTCGACGCTCCACCCTTGACAGGATGGGACCAAGGCTGATTTAAGTGGGGCTTCAGGGTTGGCACAAGCATCTCAGTGCAGTTGGTGGGAGAGGCATTAACCAACCCAGCGAGTTCTGCTTCTGGTTTTGCATTTCCTTGAGTCATGCCCAAACTCAAGGCCTCCAGAGGGCCAAAGCAGGCCTCACTTTCAGTATCTTTTACAGGATGTACACACACACACACACACACGCGCGCGCGTGCGCGCACACACACACACCCCCTGACCAATCAGACAGGGCTGAGCAGCCTGGCCTGATAGAAGGCCTGCCGAGTTCTGTTGGTCATCACGGACCATGGCTTGTGCCTGTGGGTCCTGTATAATGGGCTGGAAAGGGAGACAGTGGCCCAGAAAGCTGTTTTCTGTTCAAAGCCTTGGCTTCTTCATTTGTCAGATGGGGCAGAGTGAGGCGGAGCAGGCCCCGAGGCTCTCAGATGCACAGCGAGGTGGAGAGACTTGCCCAAGAGCACACGACTAGTAGGTTGAGAGCCTGGTTCTGAAGCCAGGTGATGCATCGGCAGAGGACGCAGACTCTGCTCTGCAATATCTGCTCTTCTCCTGGTCACAGCTGAGTACCACCTACACTACCACTTACTTAACCACGTGTTTCTTTGGGTTAATTCACTTAAAAAAAAATCCTTAACCCCATCCTAAGCAATGTGAAATCAGGGATTTGATGGCCTTGTTATGATTTGTATGGTAGCCATTAAATGTACAGATGTCATGCATTTCAGTATGAAAGTTGAATAATCATGTTCCACCTAAAACCACCCCATATACCAGCAGTGGGGTGAGTGAGACCCGGATGGGAAACGTGGGTCTGGTCAAAGATCTGGCGTGGATTCCTGTCTGTGTATCTGTCACCAGGGCACTTGAGTGTGTCATTTAATCTGATGACCATGCTCTCCGTCACTCCAGAGAACGTCCATCCCCTCTCAGATTGCATGTGCTTCTTGAAAGTCTGTCTTCTCCAGGCATGTAATGTGGGGGTGAGGAAGGAGACTCTAGATTGAGGCCACTGGCTGCAAATCCCAGCTCTTTGGCCTCAGGCATGTAATCGAAACTTCTTGAATCTCAGTTTCCTCAGCTGCCAAGTGGGGGTGATAATCGTGATCACCTCCCGCAGCTCTGTGAGGATCAGCGTTGATGCATCAGAAGCCTGTGGAACTGTGGCTGGCAACTATCAGCACCAAGTAACTCTAATGAGCCCCACTGTGCAAATGAGGACAGAGAGACACCAGGGAGACAAGCTGACTAATCTCTTAAAGTGTGAGGGTGTAGCAGCAGGACTGAAGCTAGGTCTGTGGTCTTCGAGCTTTTGGGAGGTTAAGATGCACCAGGGGGTGTGTAAGAAATGAGACAGATTCCTTCCAACTAGCAGGTCTGGGGTGGGGCCTAGGGATCTGCATGTTTGATGACTTCCCAGAGGATTGGAGGAAGGTGGTCTGAGGACCCCTCACTGCAAACTGCCCCGCCCCCTGACTCTGAGACTCCCCTGCCCCCTCTTCCTCCCAGAGCCCCACCCACCCCTCTTTCCCTCTGGGCAGCCCCCTTGGTGCTATGTAAATGCACAGTTTAGCATTCTTTCCGCCCTTGCACAGAAAGGGGTCTGGCTTTGCATTACCACCTCTGTCTGTGAGATCTCACTTTAGGTCGGGGTGATAAGAAGGCAAGAAACATGGAAGGGGAAAGAGATCACAGCAATGTGACTGAATTTTCATTTTAAGGTGGAAATACGCTGTTTCCCCGCTACTCGGAGCTCCCTGTATCTTATTCAACTTTGTACCGCCTGTGTCTGGCCCAGAGCAGGAGTCTGAACTGTGTGTAGAATTATAGAGAAAATGAGCTGTTTGGGATGTTCTGGAAACAAGTCACGATTCTATCACTTTAAAACTTTTTTGAGGGGATGGCCATTTAGACACAGCCTAACGCAATCAGATAAACTCAAATGGAGTCTTTAAAAAAAGTGATTCCACCCACATATTTCAGGTGGCTTCTTTGTGCCCTTATTGCTGTTAGGGAGAGATTCTCTGATCTCAATTTGAGAGCCTCTCTCGTGGGAGACTGGGTGACTTACCTGAGGTCACACAGCTCCCAGGGGACAATACCAGAAGCTCAACAAGGTAATTTGCCTCTGAGACCTGCCCTATTTCCATCAAGCCCTGCTACTTCTACAGGTTTTGTGATATTAGTCACTGGGAACTAGACTCATCAGGAAGGTTCTGGAAAGCTTAGTTTAGGGGAACACAAATAGGCAAATCCATATTCCAAGGCATTCAGAGACCTGGTTGGGGGAAGAATGAACTCCTGAAAGCTCAAAACACTTGTTTGTCTAGAAGCCCACAGGCTGGCCTCCGGCTGGTCAGTGGGGCTTTGAACTCTCCACCACCTTGGCTAACGTCAGAGGAAGTGCTAACTATACATTGGCCGAAAGCAAGCCGCTCCCGCGTGACCATCTAGGTATTTGAGACCAAGCAAGCGGGGAAGCAGGAGTGTTAGCTGAGAGGTGCTTGTTCCATGAAACCCCAGTTCTTTGCATCATTTGGATAGAGAGGCATGAATGGAACATCAGCGGCACCACCGTCTTGCCCCGTATTCAAGCAGGTGTCAGAGAAAAGAGGAAATCGAGGCAGGAGCCATCGCAAAGGAAACTTTTCGGGGTGGGGGATGGAAAAGCCACCCGCCAGTGCTTGATGTGGTTGCCTGGATTCACACACTGGGTAGACCTGGGGAATTCTCTGAGCCAGGGGGCGGGGGGTTGGGGAGACCCCTCTACCTCCTCTCTAGAGGCGACTTCCCACCCACATAGTGGAAAAAGAAAAACTTCTTTCATGATGATTTGCATTTAAAAAATAAAGGCAAATGGGCAAGTCCTCGGAGGCCCGTGTTTTTATGGGGTTTGCTCAAGCATGCCGCCCTTCCACCCTGCCTCCCCCAACAGTGTGAGAGGCGACAACCCAGGACAGGTGGTGGGCGGCGCTCCTGAGCCAGCCTGGGCACGGCAGAGTCCGTTCTCTAGAAGTGGCCACCACCCAAGGACGGGATGATGCCCCGAGGAGGGGCCTGGGCCCTCTCCCGCGGGGCAGGCAGGGCCGATCTGCACAGCCACCCACGGTCCTGAGCTTTGCAGGGAAGGTAAAGGCCTCCGCGGCTCAGCGGCCTGGGGCGCACATGCTCGGCCCGCGTATCACGTGGTTCCATCTCCTTTGTCCCGGGGAGCAGTCTTGCTTCCCCCTTAGATTCGGGGGGGTGGTATTGCTGAGCTAGAAAGGGGAGCGCCTGGAATTGCCAGCACCTGACTTGAGCCAGAGGAGGGCATAGGCTCTCGGCAAGGTCACTCGGGGGCACCTGAGGAGTCACGAGACTGCATGAGCTGGGTGTCTCCTTCTTGGAAGTGAGAAGGCGCCTCCTTTTTAAGGGGCACAGAGGTCACGGGATGAGCGGGAGAGGCAGGGCCCCGGGCTCCGTCCACACTCGTGTTGAGCTGCGCTCGGCAGACGTGTGCTGGACGTCTGTGTGTGTGAACTTGGCCCAGTTTGGTGTCACAGGGGACATGGGGGAATCAGGTGGGGTCACCCCTGTTAGGAGAGGGGGACCAGGCCCTGAGTGCCGTGATGTAAGCTGGGAAGCCAAAGTGTTCCCAGTCCCCCATGACTCACCCTGGAGACACTGACCTCCTGACCAGCCCCTTCCCGACGCCCTAGAGGACACACAGGTGCACTGATAGGAAACAAAGGTGAGGTGTTCAGAGCAACCAGCACCACTGAACCCGGAGCCCGATGGGTTTACTCTCAGCCTTTGCCTTCTGCTTGCTGAAGTGTCTGTCCCTGCACCACACCCCCTGCCCAGCTCTCAAGCCATCCCCAAATGACTCTGAGCTCAGAGAGTCTGGCTCAACCAGGCATCTCTGGGAAAAGCTGGTTTTGGTCGTCCTCAATTAACCCACTGCATTGTGTCCTCCCCCAAAGACGCCTGGCCCCTGGGAGCCCACGGATGGGCACAAAGATTCTTGTATTATCAGGAAGATCTCCTAGGGCTAGTGGCTAGTTTCACAAAGTTACACTGAAAAAGCCCTTGCAGAGCTCTGATCATATTATATATCCATGATAATCTGATATTCCCATGACAGTATTATCCGTCCATAATAATATCACATCATAGCTGGCAGGGCATGGCAAGCCAGAGCCTAGGTTTCAGAATCAGACTGGCCGAGCTTGGAAATCTGACTGCCGATAGCTGAGGACACCAATTATATTTGCTGTGTGGGCCTCAGTTTCCCCACCTATAAAATAAAGGAATTGAACCAGCTGCTCTGGAAGGTCCATCCCCAAAATGCCAGAGATTCAGCATCCTTCCAGGGCACCTTTGTCAAATTTTTTTAACGTTTAATTTTTTAACTTTTGAAGCGTTAACACAAGCAAAGCAAGAGAAACAAGTAAAAGGAGCCCTATGGACCCATTGCCCTGTTTCAACAACCATCAGCCCCTCCATCACCCCGTCTTCCTCAGAGCTGCCAGACTTACCATCTGGGCTGGGCACAGGCCTCTCGGGGGGCGCTGGGGTGGATCGCATGCTGTTCCCCATTTCTCTCTCTCCCTGGGCCGTCCAAGCCGCTTGAAGCCTACGTCGCAGGGGATCCACACGGAGAGGCAGCCACGCGCCAAGCCCTCTGGGTGGAGAATGACCCAGTTTAGAGTACATTGTGCATCATTTTTTCAGGCAGCTCGCTTCTTGAAAGGCGGGTGTTTTTATGTGGAGATGAGATTCGCGAATGTTGGTTACATTTGCGCAGCTCAACTTCTTTTATCAAGGGAATGACAGAGAAAAACCACAGAGAGGGAAGTTGCTAGCAAGTGCTGCTGGCGGAGAAAGTTTCCATTCGCCGGCACCAGCTGACACAGAGCAGCCAGCAGGGTTTGTGGGAGAGGCTGAGCGCCCTGCAGACGCCCCACAGGGCCTCCCTCCTGAGCCCTGGCCCTCCACCCCCGGGCACCAGGCGTTCAGAACTCTTAACGCTCAGGAGTTATGTGGTCCCACGACTAAAAGGAGGTGAGAGGGCGCTTTCTGTTTCAACGTTCTCTCTTCTGTCGGAGTCTCTCAACACTCTAACCAACAGTGACAAATGAAAACCCCGTAACAATATGTTTGTTTGCTGCCTGCTTCCTATGCTGCTCCAGCGCTTGGCACCCGCTGGTACTTTTGTTTATCACAGAATCCCTGCATCCCTAACCCCGTTTTGCAGAAAGGAGACTGAGTCTCAGAGAAGGTAAAGAGTTGGCCAAGGTCACACGGCAGGTAACTGGGGAGCTGGGATTTGAATGGCTGATGCTAAGTTTCTGGTTTGTTCCTTAATGTTCAAATTCTGCCTCTGCCCGTGTAAGCTAGGTGATCTCGGACAAGTTCCTGACCTTTTTCTGCCTGTTTCAGGGAATAATAATAAAGTAACATTGGGCTGTGGCTGCCATGTTAACAGATAAGGCATGGGAAACACTTAGAACACAGCCTGGTGTAAAATCCATGTTCCTTATTGCCATTTGCAGTGTATTTTCTGGTAGTCCGTAGTGAGAAACGCTTGAATTCTGGTCCTTCAAGCAAGTATTTTACAAAGGGACTTAAATGATTCCAGAATAGACGTGTCCTTCCAGGCTGCTAGCAGCACAGAAAAGAAAGCCACATCCATAGACAGAGCTATTCCTGTCTTCTGGGACAAAGAATTGGTGAGTTGGAATCCCCCAGCCCGGATCCAGCCCACCTAGAAACTTGCATTCCACCCCGTTCTTCATCTCCAACTTGGGATCAAGGACTTACGAGCTTAACAGGGTCCAAAAGTCAGCCAGTCCAACCTCCACCCTGGCCTTAAATCCTTCCTCTATGCATTACATGTTCAGATTCTGGAAAGATCTGTGTTCTCAGAGCAAGGCCTTTTAGAGGCTGAGGAAGGTCTGCTTCACTTCCTAATTTGGTGGGGGAGGAGGGTGGGGAAGGTGGGAAACCTGGCATATTAGGAAAAAAGGAAAACCAGAATGCACGTTTTTGAAAGTTTATCTGTTTTAAATATTTACATGAATAGTTTATCGCTTACAACTCAGACTAATAGATTGTAATATAACTGTGCTGTTCCCAAGATAATTACAAGGCCTGTAAAGATTGTAAGCTCATCAGGCTCCACAGGACGTGTGGCTGGAATGGGCCACGCGCTTGAAGTTAGGCGTTTTGTCTTCTTATCCTGTTGCTCTTTGTGTCTGGAAACTGCGAGGATAGTTTAAGGGTCAGGCTCGTCCTGATGCAAGATCTGGGCCCTTCTTTCTGTATCTCGCCTCCTCCCTCCCCGGGTGCAGCCAAGGGGTGCTTTTTCCCTGGCCTGCCCCTTGCCTGGTGTAGGCACTCACAGACATGTGCTCCAAAAAAGTGCTGGAGAAACCATGCCAGTGGAAGGAAGCCTCATTCCTTGCAGCTCAGCATCTCCTGTGCTGGGCCCTGAGTCGATGTCCAGAGGAAGGCCGGCCACGTGGTCCTACCCACCTCACGGGAACGCTGCCGCCCCTGTGGTCCCACCTCGGGTATGTCCAGGGACGGAGCAGAGCGAGAAGACTGACTCATCTCAGGAGCTGGCGCCCTGCACGGGATGCACAGGCGTCCTGAGAGCCCCTGTGTCCGGCTCCCAGCGCCCTCCTAGAGCCACAATCACCCCCAGTCCTGCAGCCCCCTCATCTGTCATCACTAAGGCCTTCAGGCTGCTAGAGAAAGCTCTCAGGAGAGGCAGAGGAGAGGCCCTGGCAGGCCTCCCATGCAGAGTACCTCTGAAACGTGTGTGCTGGGCTTGCCCCCTCACTCTCCCGGGGGTCCCCACAGCACCAAACAGCTCTTCTCTGATCCTGGCAGCCTGGCCCCGGGCTTCAGGGATCAACTAGACACCAAGGCCGGTGCCCGTCACCCCCCCAGAGCGCCCACATGGCCTGTGAACTCCCACCCTTCCTGACCTCCCAGGCCCCTTCCCTCCTACCCCCTCTTCTCCTTCTGAGCTGTTTCTAGGCAGCAGCCTCCTGCCTTCATGTCTGACCCTCATCATGACATCAGCAACTCCAGAGAAGTCGTGAGGAAAAGGTTTTGTCACCTCTCAAGGTTGTCATCTCTCAAATTCTAACTCCACCTCTCTTCCCAACAACATTATAAATCTTCTCAAGCATTTGTGTGCTATCTGGGGGTGATTCAGGGAATCCAATATAGGAAAACAAAACAAAACAAAAGACTAGAAACTTTTTTTCCCATTTTTCAGATGGGAAAACTGAGGTCCATCC